GCACTTGCTGCGCTCAGATAGAAGTCTTGCCAAGTGTGCCAGCCTTGTATGAGACGCTTACCAGACCGTCTATAAACATTTCTGGTTGGGTACACGGAATGATTCTGGCTGTGATTGTCGTCCTGACTGCGACGTTAAAGAATTCCTGAAGAGATGGGGGCGCTCTATAAATTCCTCCTGATCAGCCAGATCATCCGTGTGTAAGGCTCGTTTCCGTACGAGGGTAAATAAGAGTGGGCTGGCTGGCTTACTTGGCTCTGACTTGGGCACAGGGGTGGGCCAATACCGAAAACACTGCTTTGCTCAAGATGCTGTTCGGTATGTTGGATTGAGGGGAGGGTAGGTTCCAATTGGTGCTCAACTGTGTACACAACTATACCCATCAATCATACATCTGCTACATTGTCTTTTTGTACCTTTGATTAGTTGGTTGACGGACTGCTAACCTCACTGACAGATTAGTGTAGGACTGTTGTATGCTGCCATAGCCAGTTCTAATTAATGCTGCTGTAAGTGAACTAATCAGCGTGCATCTAGACTATGTAGACAATCTGTGTGAATGTTGTAGACATGCCACTTGATTCGGTATAGTAGGGAACTCGCCGGACACAACCATTTTTAGAAAACTACGTGCCGGTCAGATACATGCTGCGGTAGGATTCCATTAGGGGATTCTAGTGCAGATACTATTTGTCTAACTAATGAGTGGGTCAGACCCTGTTGATGATAGAGCTGACGGTAGGAGACTAACACGTGCACAGGCACTAAGGGTACCGCACGTGTTCCAAAAGACGGATACTTAGAGCCCATGCGTTAGCAGCGGGGATAGCAGAAGCAAACAGAGCAGCAAGAGAGCAGGCAACAGCAGCCAGAGCAGCTGCAATTGCTAACGGCGCAAGCTCTGCTGCGTCATCATCTGCGTCCTCATCAGGGACTAATGGGAGCCTGTTGGGAATGCCAACGAGTTCCACAAGTTCCTCAGGCACTTCCGGTTCCACAGGTTCTAGACAGTCTTCTAGTCAAATGGCCGGCTCGTAGTTCAGCCCCATGACCGCACGTGAGCGGGAGCTCAGAGAGATCCAACAGGTCGAGAGGCTACGCCGTAAGTTAGAGCAAGACCTGAAAGAGGCAACCGATAGAGAAAATGAAATGAAAACTAGAGCAGCCAGGCTTGAAACTTTAGAGGCTGACAAAGTTGAACTAGAGGGCTTGGATGAGGCAACAATGAATGCCCAGATGAAAGTGTTGAAGAAGAATATGTTGTCGCTGCATGCGCATGTGGACAGCAAATTCGACTTCATGCAAAGCACTCTAGACCAGATCCTGGACGCTTTGACAAGGCCAGGATTCCGGCCACCAGCACAATCGCCGTTGCCGTTATCGGCGATGTCAGGCCCCTTTCCGGTTCAAGCTGGCACACAGCCAAGTGGCACATCTGCAGCAGCCGCACAGACTGTTGCATCTTCTTCTTCGGGTCCAGCGGTGGTTGCTACACCACCGCAACAGGCTAGTCCTCAACAAGGACAGCCGCAAGGTCATTGGTATCCCAAGACCCCAATGAAACCGCCTCTTGCTTTTTCAGGCGAGAGAAAGGAAGAGGAACTCAACATATGGTTGAGGACCGTCCCGGTTTGGGTGAAGGCAAAGAGGACCTTGCCTGAGGACGAAGTGGTAACTGCAGCATCTTACCTAGAGGGTAAGGCAGCCAAATGGCTAGATGGGGTAGTTGTGAAAGCCGGGTACGAGCGACGCATGGCGGACTGGGCCAAGTCTTTGACTCTAGACCAGTTCATGGAAATGGTAGAAGCTCGATAGCATAACCCATAGGAGGCTCAAAAGGCCACTAATGCCATTAACAAACTAGACCAACGCAAGTTCAGGTCAGTTAGAGAGCTTACGACTACCGTTGAGAGCCTGATCCTCGTCCCAGGCATCAACTACAGCGATCAGTTCCTATTGACCACGTTTGTCAGATGTCTCCCAGAGAACATTAGGAACTTGCTAGCCAGCGAGGCATGCACTGAGTACCACTCGTTTGAGACACTGTCTAGGAAAGCCTTAGACTTGCAGGCCACCCTAGGCAATGCTCAACCCACCTCAGGGAATGACTCAAAGAAGAAGAAAAGTCCTCAGGAGTGGAAAAAGAAGGGGGCGAAGTTGATGATGGTGGAGTCCGATGGGACCCAAACCGAGATCGACGAGCTCACTGACCTGATGGACTGCACAGAGTTTGACGACGAGGAAGTAGCTGAGGTAAGCACCCTCGCCGCGGTAGTGAAGACTAAGGCAGGTGGCCGAGGGAAGGGCCAACCAAGGGGTCAAGGGAAGGCCGCCTCCAATCAGACCAAACAGGCTGAGTGAGTTAAGGCAGGTCTTGATCAAGACGTGTGGCGTGACCGCCGAACGCGTGGCGCTTGTATCAACTGCGAGGAATACGGACACACGCAGTACAAGTGTCAGAACGCTAAGGTTACGCAAAAGATTGCTCCAAAGATGGGGGCATCTTACTCCCAGGCTTCAAGCTCGGGAAACGCGTAGGGCCAGTGGAAGTAGTAGCGGCTTCTACTCAACATGAAGTGGGCATGATACCCTCCTCACTTCATGACAAGGTCGAAGCTAATGACTCCTTAGTCACCCCGCAGACGCATCTAGACCAAACTATGCTCTGTACGTTAGATGTGTCTGAAGCCTTAGAAGACTTAGAAGGCGAATGGTCAAACAAGGACCCTCGCGAGTCTTGGGTGGCGCTAAAGAAGGGTCCTAGAGGGGAACATTTCGTGGTGGAAGTGGATGTAGGAGGCCGCAAATGTGGTGCCTTCATAGACATCGGATCCACACAGAATTATATAAGTCGCGACTGTTTGGAAAGGCTGCACCTACAGGACCGGGTATGGCACCTTAGTAGACCTGTAGCATCTACTTTGGCCAACAAGGAGCACATGATTGTAACCGACTACATCAATGACGTAGTCTGTACCTTCTCCTATGGAGGAGGTGAGGTTAACCATAAGATCTCGTTCTTGGTTAGCGACGACTTGCCATTCGATATGCTGTTAGGCATGTACTACCTCGAAGTTGCTAAGCCCCAGTTCGACTGGGATAAGAAGGTGCTCAAGCATAAGTTGCCCGATGGCCGAACTGTCAGACTGACTAAGTTCAAGGCCAGTAGTATTATAGATACCTATGGCTGCTTGTGCGCATCAGCGTTCTACAATTACTATAAGCAAAACCAAGAGGAGGGTATGTACCTTGTTTACGTCTCTGAGAAGGGGGAGGCCGTTAAAACACCCCCAGAGATAAAACATGTCGTTGCTAAGTTCCCTGATGTGTTCGAGGAGCCCACAAGAGTTGTTGAAAGGGAAGTAGTCCGCGCTATAGAAATCATTCCAGGGAGTAAGACCCCAAAGGGAAGGATCTATAGGATGGCCCCCGCCGAGTTAGATGAACTTCGGCGACAGCTTAAGGAGCTGACAGAGAAGGGTTGGATTCGGCCTAGTACCCGTTCGAAGAAGAGGGGTACTTTGAGGATGTGCATTGACTATAGAGGCCTCAATGCCATCACGGTGAAAAACGCAGAGCCTCTACCTCGCATAGACGACCTATTGGATAGGGTGCAGGGATGCAAGTACTATAGTAAGATAGACTTGAAATCCGGATATCACTAGATCGCAATAAGACCTGAGGACCAACACAAGACAACTTTTCAGAGGCGTTATGGTTTGTATGAGTTTGTAGTGATGCCCTTTGGTCTTTGCAATGCGCCGGGTACATTCCAGCACGCTATGAATCGGATCTTCCATGACCATTTAGATAAGTTTGTCGTAGTCTACCTAGACGACATTTTGATCTTAAGTAAGTCTGCCGAGGAGCACGCAAAGCACGCTGAGACAGTTCTCTCACTCCTGCGACAGCACAAGTATAAGGTCAACTTAGAGAAGTGTGAGTTCGGTCGCACTAAGATACTATACTTGGGTCATGAAGTATCCGCGGAGGGAATTAGGCCGGAAGATGCGAAGGTGGCTAGTATTCGAGACTGGCCACGACCTCAGACAGTCACTGAGGTCAGGTCATTCTTAGGAATGTGCGACTACTATAGAAACTTCGTTAAAAACAATTCTACAGTCGCCTCTCCTTTGACTGATCTAACTCGACTTGACACACTGTGGGACTCGAGTGATGAGTGCGAGGGTGCTTTCAAGAGATTGAAGCATGCACTCATGAATCATGAAGTTCTCATGGTTCCCGATCCACAGAAGCCATTCATAGTGACCACTGACGCAAGCCAATACGGCATTGGCGCAGTGTTGGCTCAGCAGGATGGGAAAAAGTTGAGACCGATTGAGTACATGAGTAAGAAGATGCCATCGAAGAAGTTGGCTAAGTCCACCTACGAAAGGGAACTCTATGCTCTCTACAAGGCACTTGTCCATTGGAGACACTTCCTTTTGGGARGGTTCTTCTATCTGAGGACTGATCATCAGACCCTCAAATGGATCAAGACTCAACCGGCTGCACTCAAGCGATGGATTTAGGTCATAGACCAATATGACTTCAAGCTTGAGTACCTGAAGGGAGAGTACAACAAGGTTGCAGACGCGCTATCCCGTAGAGCAGACTACCTAGGTGCGCTAGTTTCTGACTTTGGCGTATCTAATGAAGTAACTCAATCATTGGTGGGAGCCTATCAGGAAGACCCTGTCACAATGGACATCATCCGCAAACTTCAGGCAAAAGACAAGGCCACAGAGAGTGAGTTTGTGATGGTGGACGGGATACTTTATCTTGATAAGGCCGGAATAAAGAGATTGGTAGTTCCATCTAGTGAACAGTTGCGTAGTTTATTTTTAGGAGAATGCCATGACGCAACGGGTCACTATGGCTACAAGAAAACGAGTGCTAATCTAGTACAACGATTTTGGTGGCCTGGTATGTTTGATGACGCAAAGAAGTACGTAGAGACCTGTTAGGTCTGTCAGCGGGACAAGCCGCGAACTCAAGCATCGCATGGGTTGCTTAAGCCCTTACCTATTCCCGCTGGTCTAGGACAGAGTGTTTCCATGGATTTCATGGATACCCTGGTAACTAGCAAGAGTGGTAAAAGGCACATCTTCGTCATCATAGACCGATTCACCAAGTACGCTAGACTAGTCGCCATGCCAGAAAGTGTGAGGACCGACCATGTCATCAAGTTAAAGGACAACTGGGTGCGGGACTTTGGTTTACCAAAGACTATCATTAGTGATAGAGACGTCCGATTCACAAGTGAGCTATGGAAGAAGACTGCGGAACAAATGGGCAGTCAACTTCAGATGACTTCAGGGAATGATCCCGAAGCCAACGAACAAGCCGAACAGATGAATAGAGTTGTACAACACTTGCTGAGGCATTACATCAAGCCCAACCAAGATGACTGGGATGAGAAGTTGCCACTCATCGCCAGTCTGTACAACAATGCTGTGCACAGCAGCACCGGCGTGAGTCCTAACCAGCTACACTTGGGATGGAAGCCTAGATCCGCGTTAGACTTCCTCCTACCTGAAAACCGACCTGCTGCAACCCCAGGCACATTGGAGTACGGTGTGCAGTATGAGAAGTTGCTGCAAGAAGCTGTCGAGCACATGAAGAAAGCTCARCAAGCAATGATTGCTTCTGAGAATCAACATCGTAGACRGTCCACATTTCAGGTAGGGGAACGTGTCTGGGTCAAGGCTAGCGAGCTAGGACAGGAATTCAGAATCTCTCGCAAACTAATGCCTCAATACTTTGGTCCCTGGGAAGTCTTAGATATAGTGGGAGATGAGATGGATGGTCCCACTTATGTCATTCGTGTCCCTGGACACCTACGCACTCACCCAGTCTTTCATGCCTCAAAGCTTGCACCTTTCGCTGAGACTGATCAATTCTCTTCCAGGAGATCGATGCTGCCCCCAACCATGGATGGACAAGTCGACATCGACGACATTGTGGATCACAGGGATATGCCTGTTCAGAAGCCGCTGGGTCGAGGAAGACCTCCTAAACCCAAGAGAGAGTACCGGATCAGATTCAGGCATCATACGGATCCAAAAGAAGATCGGTGGTTTGCCCGGGAGGAACTGATGGAAACAGCTCCTCAGGTGGTGGCAGATTATGAACGGAAGCTAAAAGGGAAGGCACCTGCGAAGTAAGCATCTCAGCGGACTTTCGAAGCTAAGGGGGATGGAATGTGAGGATTGAGCCCTCAAGTAGGGGCCTTGCCATGATGTACATGTTCTGGGCTAAGGCCCCAGCAAGCCTCGTGCCCGCCCTAAGTGAAGGCGGGCCAGCAAATCAACAAGAGCCCTCTGTGCCAACATTTCACGAAGTGGGGTCCATACAGTTGCAGCACGCCAGTTGGTTGGAGTGCTCCGAGTCTCGGATTTCAGCAAATGCTGAAAGCCCAGGGCCTCTGAGTTAGTTAGGCCCTGGGCACTCGAACATGAGGCCGACAATGCATGCTGGGTATAGAGGCCGAAAATGCCAAAGGGAAATCGGCCCACTATCTGAATCTGGCCTCAGGTCTTGATGAAAGAGGCACAACTGCATTGCCCCGGGGCCCAACTGTATCGGGTTGGCTTCAGCCTCTGGGTCCCGGTCACAGGCTGAAGGGAGGCCGCCCACACTCTGCACTGGCATATAGGCAAGCAGGGCGAGTGGGCAGGTATCTTGGCCAATGCTGGCATTGCGGGCACGCTGCGCGGATGCATGTGTGCTGCGCTATGCATGAGCAGCGCTGCGCTGAGGTGAAGCAGGCAAGCGCTAGGCGGTAGGGCGCTGCCTGCATGCAAGGCACTGGCGGCCATAGCCGGGCTGCATGAGGGTGCAGTGAGGGTGTAGGGCGAAGGTGGTCTTCGGAGGTGAAGGGCGCTGTGTGGGTAACAAGGGAGAGTGTGGGGAAGAGGACACATACCTGGTGATGGTGGAGTACGGCATTGGTGTTGACATCATCACTCGCTGGTAGTCAAGTTGTCTAGTTGCTTTCATTGCTGTAGTTGTAGGATAGGCTGTAGAGTAGATAGGGCGCCTGGCGCCATTCACAAGAGAGAGCTACATTTGGGTTATGCTGTTGGTGTTGCCCTGTTGGGCATGGACATTGACTCACGATTCTTTTGTATCATTCTCAATTGGATGGTTACTCGGTTCCATTGTACTATCTGCTTTGGCTTTGAATACTTGGACTTCAGTGTGATACTGCATTCTGGATTTTTGTGCTTCGTCCATACTCATGTTCCTTGCACTTGCCAAGATTATACAATCTGGTTCGAGAAGAGTATCAAGGAGGAGTTTCGAAAGAGGATAGAGAAGACAAACCCTGATGGAGGAGATGGTAGAGACGATGACGACGATGATGACGAGGGACAGCGGTAAGCGAGGACTCTCTAATTGGGATGAAGGAGACATTAACGATAAGATAAAGATGAACCTGCCCTCAACATAGAATACCCGATAGTGGGAAACTGCCGTTAGAACTTACCTATGGGCGCAAAAGATCGACGATCGGGCTAGGGTGTTGATGGCGGTGTCGTGCCTGGGGGGAGATGTGATGACTTGTGCAATTTGACAGACCGAAGAAGCAAGCTGTGAGTAGGATATGGTGAGGTACTCCTGAATGACAAACATAGATGATTTGTTACAGGGACTATTCAAACAATTCGAAGCTAGGAGCAGGGCGGACCAAATATAATATCCTACGTATAGGAGGTTACGATGGAAAAGTGTGTCAGCCATGACGGCGACCATGGACGAGTACCCTCTGGTAAAGGATCACCGTGTGACTCGTGTGCTGGTCCTAACTCACTTCACTTTGGCCCTACCCAACCCCCTAAGGTCTCAATTGTACGTTGAGTCCCAAAAGAGGGGACAAACCTACGAAGTGTTTTCTAAGCATGTGATCGAACAGGACGACATTTTGCAGCAAGGTAATTACCATTTCTACTGGGACTTGGAGAAAGGTAAGAAATGGAAGGGCAAAACGATATCGGGTAGCATTCATGGAAAGGCCAACCTGTTAGTTACCTTTGAAGGGGGTGGGGTAGAAGAATTGCCCTAGGAGCAGATCGACTATTGTGTAGAGGAATACAACCAAGTAGTGCAGGGAGGGGATTATATGGTTGTAGTTGGAGAAGGCAGTGGCTCTTATACATTCTAAGCTGGAGGAGGGGGTTATGGTTCCCTACAAGGTGGCAGAGGCACCTCTTACCACTTGCAAGGTGTAAGAGGTGGGAACAACTTCATTCTTAGCAACAACGGTGGAGGTAGAGGCAATATCCCACCTCGTGGGCCAAGGAGATGCTTGTCGAATCTAAGGAGACAAGAAGGAGAGCCCTGGAAAGCAATTAAGATGTCTAAAGGGTAGTGAGAGATGAGGGGAGATGCTTCAAGTGTCGCGAAGTGGGTCACATCATCATTCCCTTCTACCCTGAGTGGCAGCAAGCAGCAGAAGGGACTGTACAGTAGAAGTAGCTGCCGCTTCTACCGGGACTGTGGGTTTTGATAGGCAAACGAAGGCGTGCACTGAGAATACCACCTCCTGCTTACGGTCCATTATGGCAGGAGCTGATGTAGGCCCCCCCACCTAGGTAGTTGCTAGGAGACTGCTTGTACTAGGGTCTCTCTAGGTGGATCCCTTGCATGTATAGGCGAAGAACTGATCAGTCGTTGCCAAGCGTGGGCCGAAATGAAGAAAGGAGAGTGAGAGCAATTGGTTCTACCAGATGTAGAGGTGGCCAAAGTAAGATTACGTGCATTAGTTGACAGTGAATCGACTGGTAGGAAAGGAATCAAGAAATTACATTTAGTAATAAAAGTGGAGAAGTTAGAAGAGGCGATAGTGTCAACACTGGTAGATGACACACAGATGAGTGTGGATGAGTATTGAAGGGGATCAAGGCATACTTCTGATTGGAAGGAGGGGAGAAGGTAGAGAAGGTGCTGCATTCCCTGACCTTTCTAGTGGAGGGCAGCCTACCCTCTAACATTTTGCTAGGGATAGACTGGGGAGAAGCGGCAAAGGTAGATATCCATACAGACGAAGGAAGCAAGGAGAAAGACGGTTCCATGAGTCTGGATTGAAATCCGCCTTGTCCCTATGGAGTATAGGTGCCCTTATGTTCATTGGACAAATAGTGAAGCAAGAGGTGATAGACCAAGTGTTCATGGCCTGCGTGAAACCGGTGAGTGAAGGTGAAAAAGACGAAGAGGAGATACCCCCCCCAATAAAACGTTGGAAGAGCATGCAAATAGAGTGGAGGCACCTAGTAGAGCAATAGAAAAAAAGATTAAGCATCGAATTGAGATTGAGCTCAAGAGTAAGATATTGACGGGGCCAATATACAGGATGTCTCCTAGAGAGGTAGAAGGGGAGGGGTGGATCGAGCCTAGCTCATTGTTGTATGGTGCACCTCTTTTGGATGTTCCCGAGGAGGGAGAACTCAGAATGCTCATAAATTATAGGGGACTGAACACAATTACCACTGAAGAATGGCAAGCCACTGCCGTCGATCAATGATCTATTAGATCGGTTGGAGGGATGCAAGTACTTCTCTAAGATAGATTTGAAGTCGGGTTACCATCAAATAGAGGTACAACCTGAAGATCAACATAGAACATCGTTTCAGACTTGTTACGAACACTACGAGTTTGTGGTAATGCCATTGGGATGGACTAATGCTCTTGCAATATTCGAAAGATGCATGAATGATATGTTTAGGGAGTGGCTAGACTGGTTTGTAGTTGTCTACTTAGATGATATAGTAGTGTTTTGCAGAAATTGTTGGGTAAGTTGAGGGAGTGTAAGTTCAAGGTGAAACTGAAGAAGTGCGAGCGGCCCAAGAAACAAGTGTTATAATTGCGCCATGTGATAGACGATATGGAGTGAGACGAAAGGATGCTACGATTGCTGCGATTAGAATTGGCCTACACCGAAGATGTCAACCGAGTTACGTTTATTCCTTGGCCTAGCTAATTACTATACGAGGTTTGTACGAAACTTTATGTCCATTGCAATACCCCTACACAAATTGTTGAAGAAAGAAATTATGTGGTTGTGGAGTAACGACTGCACGTCCGCGTTCAAGAAACTGAAAAAGTTGCTAATTGAGTACAACGTTCTAAAGATAGCTGATTCTTCATTACCGTTCATCATGACTACGGAGTACGGACGCTACCCTGTTTGGGATAGGTGTCGTGCTACAGAGCACGACGGAAATGGTTACAGACCGGTGGAATTCATGTCTAGGCGTCTGCCTTCTGAAAAGTAGCAGCATCGGTATATGAAAGGGAACTGTATGCGTTGAAGGAGGCACTAAGTAACTGGCGGCATTGCCTATTAGGATGGCTTTTCAAAGTATATTCTGGCTATGAGATGCTGCATTGGTTGAAAACCCAAGCTAGAATGTCCACTAAGTTAGCTAGACGGGCTACGGAATAGATGAGTTTCACTTCGAGTTGAAGCCTGCCAAGGGTAAGTACAAGGTCATTGCAGATGCGTTGTCTAGGTGGGCTGATTTCTTTGGTGCTAAAGTGACTCACCTTGATGCAGGACAGGAACTACTATTTCAGTAATCTGATAGTGAGGATAGGCTGAAGAGACTTGCAGTCTGATTTTGGGAGAGTGTCATCATACGAAGAGTACTTTCGTCGAAGAAAGACATACGCTACCTTACTACGATCATATGTGTGGACTGGAATGAAAAGTGACTGCATATTGTACGCACAGAGTTGCAAAGTATGTCAATGCAACAAGAGTACGACACAGCCCCTTTTAGGACTGCTGAAACCATTGCCTATACCGCCAGGAACCGGAGAATCTGTGTCTGTAGACTTCATAGATAGGAAGGTAAAGAGTAAGAATGGGAAGAGTCAGGTGATGGTGATAGTCGAGAGGTTCAGTAAGTGTGCTGTTTTTGTTCCTCTGCCGCCTGAAGCTAGGACAAAATTAGTGATTCGGGAGTTCTTTAACCATTGGGTTAAGGACAATGGGCATCCGTTAACTATAGTGAGCGATAGGGACGTTAGGTTTACGGGAAGACAGTGGCAACGGTTCATGAAAGTCCACGGTTCCAAGTTGACTATGCCATCCAATAGGCACGCTGAGACAAACAGACAGACAGAACAGATGAACAAACTGTTGCAGCAGCCTCTCCTCAGCAGCATCCTGGGGAAGTTGGGCGAGTTCCAGAACTGGAAAATGTGCAGCTGACAGGCCCTGGGGGACCATTACCAGTCTGGAGCTGACAAAGATGTCAACTCAGCTGCTCGTAAGCAGTTACAGTACCCTGGACGACTCACTTGTCAATCCCCATGTTGCCGAAGCGCTGCTGTACGCTTGTCCCCAATAGTTCGGAGACTGGTTGGGCATCTGGCGGAGTAGCTGGCACTAGGGCGCGATAGCTAGGACTAGAGAGGGAGAAGGAAACCACCATAGCTGCTAAGGTTGAGACCCAAGTGCATTCAGATAGTGGGAGTGAGCGATCCAAGTAAGAGAGAAGAGAGAGAGACAGTAAGGCAGAGAGAGAGAGAGAGAGAGAGAGAGAGAGAGAGAGAGAGAGAGAGAGAGAGAGAGAGAGAGAGAGAGAGAGAGAGAGAGAGAGAGAGAGAGAGAGAGATGCGGGAGAGGGAGAGAGCTTGAGCGGCTATAGCCGCATGAACTTCGAGTTTGGAGACTTGTGGCAATATTGCATTTTGGAATAATATCTTTGAGTTCCGGCTAATGTATATCTCATTGCTTTGCTATTGAGTATTGTGTGGACTTTGGAGACTTGCAGAATTGCGATTGGGAGTCTGAATCAAGTCGGATCATTGCGCTATGAACTTCAGGAATTTATTCTGAAGTCATTCCAGTTCTGAAACTGTTTGAACTTCTTCTTGTGTTTGTGGAAGGCATTAAAGTGACGGAAATGGAACAGTATTTGGATTTTGAACACCGTTACCTGCATTTAGATCAATGGTTCAGGTTCCCTGCAAAAAAAAGTAGCACACAAAAAAAAAAATGATAAAATTGTACGAAAATTAATAAGCTGTTTGTCTTTCGTGGATGGTGCAGAAATGCGAAAAGGCCTTTTAGCTCGAGGATGGTACGAGAACACAGATCCCAGCAGTTCTTATTTCGACCTCAAGTGGCTTTTGCGGGGCCGTTACATAGAGTCGTCAGCACTGCAGAAAGGCCAAATGTACAATCATTTCAACAAATCTGGACACATCACGACAAAGGTGCCTTTCTTTTCCTGCCTTTTTGCTTTTACTATGGATATTTTTCCTTCATTCTCTTTTGTTTCTGGAAGATCCACATAATGTGGTTATCACTCACTGAGATTGGATTTGGATTTGGCTTTGGATTGGAATTAGGGTTGGGATTGGGATTGGGATTGGATTGGGATTGGGTTGGGATTGGATTGGGATTGGTATTTGGACTTGGATTGGTAATTTGGACTTGGGTTGGGATTTGTTTTGGTGGGTTGTTTTAGTGAGTTGGTTGTTTGGTTGGTTGTGCAAGGAAACCGCAATGGAGAAACTCAATTTAAAGCACACTGAACTCTGGTGCCTAGCATTCAGATGGTGACAAGGCAATTAGCAGAAATGACAAAGCAATGCCCACAGCAGCACAAGAATCGAGAATGCCGTAGTCTCTGGATGATGAAAAACCCTCTTCTCACCTCCCAACAATCAATACAACAAATGGTAGTTCTCTGCTCTGACTGGCCTCACCACCAGCCTATGTGATTACCTACTCTATCAACTGCCCTACCGATAGGCTATACTACACCAATGTACAACGCCGCAGAGTACAATGCTTGAATGCTGCTCCCACTGAGGCCTGAACACAGAATGTACCATGCTGAACCTCTTCTTCATGACCACCACGTACGTCTCTCGCCAATCATCTCCTCCCTGCGGCCTTCCTCCTCTTCCCAGGATCTCCCTTCCATGTCCCACCTCCACTCTTCAGGCACTGCCTGCCCACACTCTCGGTCACTGGCCAGTTGCCAGTGCTGCTTCCAATACATGCACTCTAGCAGCCTAGCACTGTCCACCAACTCATAAAAGATTCCCAGACTGCCCTGGTGTCTTCGTTTATGCTAGGCCGGGTTCTGGGCAGGCTGGTAGGCACTGCCTCCTGGTACCTTCCGGAATCGGCCGTGCCCTGCCGGGATCCCAACCACCTGGCTGGTACCCCGACGGTAACCTGGCCTTTTCCAAAGTAGGCCGGTCCTCATCTCCAACAGAGCCCTGCCACAGTTATCCAGGCCTGGCCTTTACCTTCCGATTCGCACCTGGGAGGTCCCCGCAGCCTCACAGTTGCTTTGGTTGGTTTGGTTGGTTGGTTGGTTGGTTGGTTGGTTGGTTGGTTGGTTGGTTGGTAGGTTGGTTTGGTTTGCTTCGTTGGTTTGGTCTGGTTTGGTTTGGTTTGATTTGGTTGGTTCGGTTGGTTGGTTGGTTTTGGTGGTTTGGTTTGGTTGATTGGCTTGGTTTGGTTGATTGGCTTGGTTTGGTTAGGTGTTTGGGGTTGGTTTGGGTGGGTGGGTGGGTTGGTTGGTTGGTTGGTTGGCTGGTTGGTTGATTGGTTGGTTAGTTGGCTGTTTGGTTGTTTGGCTGGTTGTTTTCTTGGGCTGTTTGAGTTTGGTTGGGTAGTTCGTTTTGTTTGGTTTGGTTGTTTGGTTCGGTTTGGTTGTTTGGTTGTTTGTTGGGTTTGGTTGCTTAGTTGGTTTGGTCTTTTTGATTTGGTGGGTTTTCTGGGTTGGTTACACTGGTTTGTTTGGTGGGCTGGTGTGGTTGATTGGGCTGGTTTGGTGGTGGGTTGGGTACGTTTGGTTGGTTGGGTGGGTTGGATGGGTTGGATTGGGTGGGTGGACTGGGTTGATTGAGTCGGTTCCGTGCTTTGGGTGAGCTGGGTTCGTTGGGTTGGTTTGGTTGGGTTGGGTTGGTTGGTTCGTTCGGTTTTTGGTTGGTTGGCTTTTTCATTGGTTGTTTGGTTGGCTGGCTGG